AAATGGTTAAATCTAAACATTAAACCTTTTAAGACCTGGCATAGGCACAGATTGGCAACAGACATTTTGCGGGAGTCTTAAAGAGATAAAATTACTAATATTACTAATACATCTCAGTCCATCAGTGTATTAAACACATTGGGTTTTGAGAGGGGTTAAGAACAATTATGGGGCTTTAATTTTTTATGTAATCCCTACTTAAAACGGTTTGGTGAATCAGGTTACGATTTACACCTCAATGTTACATTTTCATTCAAACTACACCTGAAAACCTGCATTTCTCATTTTGTCTATAAAGCCAACATATTGATGTTTCAAGAGGTCAGCTTAAACCCATCCAACCTAACACTATTTTTTCAGAATTAAAAAGGTCTACTTTATGGTCATTATTGGGTATAAAGGTTTCAGACACAAGAGTCAATGACTTTCCTTTTATCTTTTTATTAAAAAACAGCACTGCTTATGCATCTGCAATGGTAACTTCAACTTCTACGCCTGGTTCAATGCTGATGGAGGTGATCTGCTTGACAATTTCAGACGGACTGTGCAGGTCTATCAGCCGCTTATGGATCCTCATCTGGAATCGATCCCAGGTTTTGGATCCCTCACCGCAGGGAGTCTTCCTAGTGGTGATGCGCAGAGTCTAGAGGTGGACCAAAGGTGCAAATAAACTTCCAGATACAAACCAAAAGAATTTCAGAGTTTCTATCAAACCGTCAAACATCATAAAAGGAAAAGCATATTAAAAAAAAGTCAGTACCTTGGTTGGCATGCGGACTGGTCCCTTAACCTTCAGGTTCTTGTCCTTGGCACCACGGATCAAATCTGCACAGACTAAAAAATAAAATAATTATTTAACAACCAAAGTACAACTAATAAATTGTTTTAACTTCATCCCACAGCTCAGAATAGCGTATTCAGTCACCACGGTTAATAACTGTTTAAAAAATGTTTATCCTCATTGCTTCAGTTTCTTTGAAATGCCACATTAAATAGATCAGGTACCTTTCTCCAGGGATTTGACGTTGCGGCTGGTGAGGGTGATGCGGATGCGATGGATGGCAACCTCAGTGTCAGCAGGTGCCTTACCAGAGTCCTTAAAAGCCTGCAGTAGAAGAAAAAACAAACACCTTAATTTGCAGAAGCAG